TCAACTAGAAAAGCAAGTCAGGGCCTAAATAGTGTCACTGCCTCCTCTGCAGCCCTGGAACTCTTTACCAAAACAGCATTTTTATACACGACTCTGCTTTTGAACAACGCTCAGCAGAGCTTCCACAATTCACCATCTCTGTCTCTCTCTAACTAGCATTCTCTACATGCTGCATCTGGAACAGGAATCTTCTTTGCCACCATCCTGCTTATTGGAATCCTGGTATTTATTGGGTACACTTACTTCAGATTCAAGAACAGAACCAGTGGCTTCCAGCATTTCAAGGTAGGAGACAGAAAAGAGGGTTGGAGTTGACTGTGAGCAGGGATCAGTATCTCATACCCACATTATGAACAGCTGTGCCTGAATATATGATTTCTATCCACTGACATCTGTCTCCAGTGATCCTTTTAAAAAATATAGCACTTCAAGGTCCCCAGTAGAAGGATGTTTGATTAGCTTTGCTTTTGTGAATTTTAATCTGCTCCTAAACAGAGACGCAAAAACTCTCAAGGGAACTGTAATAAACAGCCTTGCCTATACAAATCTGTGACCTGCACAAGGAGACTCTCAGTACTGCTTCCCAAAAAAAGACAGGTCAAGAGATATGCAGTCTCTGCTTTCTAGGGCATAACAAGGCTGCTCCCCCCAGCTGCTAGAGACTAAACATGAAAGAGGTGAGTAATGACCTCTTGAAGACCAGGCCACATGCACTGTGGGGAAACAGCATGCCCACTTGTCTGACCCAGAATAAATCTGCATTTGCTGGGGATCTGGTCATTCCAGAAAGACTCCATAAGGTGCAACAGACTCGCCTAAAACTTGTATTCTCTAACAGCCATGACACAGACACTAAGGGCACTGACAAGCATACAGGTCCCCGGTCTAATTCCTGGTGCTTCACATAAAGTGCCATGAGTTAGAGTGATTTCCCCACCACCACCCCCAACAATGCTGACCCAACAGATGTTTATCTGTTGGGCTGGGGGAAGGGGGGGCAGAGGCAGGGGAGGGAGCCAATACAGGAGAGGAGTTGCCTGCCTGCAGACTCTCTCCCCTAGCCCCCCAGCTCTGGTGCCGTTTGCAGGAAGGGAAGGGGTATAGTGATGGGTGAGCTGGGATTTGCCATACCTGAGCTGGAGGGGGATGGGGAGGGAGCTGGGAGGGCTCCAATCCACCCACCCCCATCTAGCTCAGGTCAGGCAAACCTGAGCTCACAGCTCCTTCCTCCTCCCTTCCTGCAGACAGCACCAAGGACAGGGATGGGTTGCATCAGCCAGCCCTGATCGTGCTGAGAAACTGACCTAGGGAACAGAAGTTCTCCAAGGCACTCTACTTTAGAGCACACGTCACATCATAGAAAGCACTCTACAGCCATGCAGGGGGCTGATCATACAACAAGTGTCACTTCTGTCAGCGTCCTAAGGTGCTACAGAGAGAGAGTTCATTTGAAAGTCTAATTACGGTTTCTTACTAGAACCTGTTCTCTTCTCCCCATATATTTTTCTGTTAAAAGACATTCCTCTGAACTTGTCCACAGCATTTATTTGAACTACCCTTCGATAGAAAAAAAAAAAAAAGGCCAGAGTTTTTTAAACATTAAAGCATTTGCTATGCTTCTGAAACATTCTTAGAGGAAAAATTGTAACAGTCAACTAAAACCCTTCCTGCACATTTCCTTCACTGGAAACAAGCCAGCAACAATAGGGCTGTTCAATGCAGGTTACCCAAAATGGGGTAAGAGTGGTTGAAAGAGGGTACAGGCAGTCATTCTGACACCTTGTAAAAACACAAAGTGAAAGCATCAGTTCATTAGAAAAAAACATTCCTGGAGATGGTCATGAGTTCCTCTTGCTTCTAACCCTGTATACAGAACACATTAACTCTTTTAGAAATGCCAATATCAAATAAAGGGAAACATATTTCAAATAGGATAGTATCCAAGACTGGAGTGGAGCTCCATTTGCTAGACACTGTTCCTGTGCTAACAAGCATCTGCAGACAGACAGTGGGGGAGGAGAGGAAGTCCACAACAAGACCACTTGCCCAATAATCATACAACAGAGCCCAAACCAGAACTCAGGTCTCAATTCTACACCTGGTGCACTAGCCCACACTGACTCCAGACACAGCAATATAAATTATTTAGTCACATGAAGCACAGCCAGGAGTGAAACTCTGAATGCTTCATTTGATAACAGAATGATGGAATCTAATTAGATGTATATGGTTTTCTGCAGTCTATAGATGACATTGATGCAACAGCACTGGACAATTCACAGCCTTCAAACATTACAAATCCCTCATATGAAAGTTCTACTGCGACTGCTCCACCAGAACGTACCTATGATCCATTTTCTGTAAGTTTTCAGTGTGGTTTCCAACTGTAGTAGCTAGCTTAAGATCACAGAAAGAGAAGATAATTATATCAAAAATACATTAGTTTAGAACTGGGAAAGTATGTCCACACTTCTTACATAGTTACCTACTGTTAACTGTGCTGCCCCAAAAATAACACTGAATACTAGTACCAGAACTGCAGGCTACTAGACCAAATCTTGCTCTGCAGACGGACTCGTTAAAATACTGGTGGCTGGTAGTGATTTGTCTATGTGAAACATCATTCCCTCTTGCTACAGTGGTAACAAAAGATGAAAAATATGTAGAACACACCTCATTTTGAGACCAAACTCTTTACCTCTGCTAGAAACCATGTTACAAACAGGAATTTTCACTCAACATTTTTCTTGTGAGACAAGCATACAGCTTTTGTACAAAGTATTTCTGATAAATGTGATGCGACAACCATGGACAACATTTGTAACAGAAAGGGTCGTCTCTACGGGGGTGCAAACTGGGGGAACTGCCCTGGGCCCCACGCTTTGGGGGGCCCTGCAGAGCGGTGGTGGAGTGGCTGCGGTGACTCCACACCGCCACTGCCAGCTTCGCATTTAGCTGCTCACTATCCCCTGGCCCCCTGGAGCAGGGGGCAGGACCCCACATGGGCTGATTTGCCCTGGGTCCTGTCCCCTGCTTGGGTTGGCTCTGGTAAACAGGAATGGGGGGCACTATATATGCACCCTAAAAGACTGGCAGGGAAGAGAGTCAAGAAGACCAAAAGGTAAGCGGTGTGAATCCTTATTGCTCAGTTCAGAAGAGCATAAAAGCACAAACTTAAATCCCACTGACTCCTTTGTTGACTTCAACAGAATGCAGGGTTGAGGACAATTTTCCTTTGCCTATTGTTTTATCATGAGCATAAAGGGCATAAATTCCTTTCTGGATGCAAGATAAAGCATCTTGGCAGGATATCTAGTCAAGAATTTGAAGTGAAGTTTAAATTTTGGTCTAGGTTTTAGTTTTCCTGGTGCACGTGCGTAGTATATACATACAGCAACTCACTGTCAGATAAAACATATATTGGACAATATCGAGTCAAAAACTGAATTTAAAAATTTATATTTTACAGGATTCTGATGAACAGCAGCTTGTGACGAGTGGTCCTCAAGATCAGTTTTGAAGACTGAACTTTACAGAATTAGATTGTGAAATGCTTGTCTATGGGATTTTAAAAGAACCAACACAACCCAACATTTACTGTGAATCATCTCCAAAATGATCAAAGTACATTTAAAATAATCAAATCACACCAACAATTTAAGTTTAAATTGTTCTTTTGCCTTTATGCCTTCATTTTGTTTTGGGATTGAAGCAAGTGTGAATATTGAGAGCCTAAGTTTAAAAGGGAAAGTGACTGAACAAAGAAAGCAGAAACTAATGTTCCTTTTCTGTCACTCCTTCTCTTTCCTTTAGTTTAAACTGTAGCTCAGGGTGTTATTAGATAGTGAGTTGGATTATACCAATATATAGGTCAAACTTCACATGTCAAAATGCAAAAATATAAAGATCGGAATTGACCGACCAGAGTTGAGCAGATCCCATTCTTCTCCCTCAAACATATCAAGCTTTAAGGACATAGCATTTGCCAGAGAACAGCCCAAGATGACTGTTTCCCAAAGCCCACCTGGCAACTATTTCACAACTCATGCCCTTGTATAACAGATATTACCTCTTCAAAACACACGGGCATTCCAGCCACTGACCTTAATTGGTATATGCCTGCTATTCGTTTGCCACTATAGCTCCATTATGTCTTGGGGTTGAATCTAGATGTGGTAAACAAGGAGCTTAAACCAAACACACTTAATAGCATTAAGACATTCATTTTTAAAATAGTTTGCTTTTGTCTGTTACTGTTCTTCCTTATACAAACTGAAGTAAATGAAGATGCAAATATGGTATATGCCTGGTTTCACGTTATTCAGAATTTGTCATCTTTGGAAAGGGGAGGAAATACTCATATCAGAACTAATAGGGAATGTAGACCATGTATGATTACTTGTTAGAAAAAAAAATTGTTCACCATCCATTCTGCCTTTCACATTCATCTTAAGAGGTCTGTAAAGAGTAAAAGACATCCTCTGCATTGTTCGTGTAGGTTAAGCTGATACAAGTACCCTACATTTCACATAAAAGTGTTACATGGACAATAGCTGCCAGCTTTTTTAGGTACACTATATCAAACATAGCCTCTCTGTTGGCCATTGATATCAATTGTTAATTCTTACAACACATATACTGGCATTATCTTCTACAATAACTCATTTTTACAGCAAAGTTTTCCTTTTATGAAAATATCCCAAGATGCAGGTTATACAAACAAACCTCATATGTTACAAAAGCCACATCAGCCCAGCACTTTTTGATGCAGCAGATCAAGCATAAGTATTGACATCCTAAGTTTAAAAGCATCAGTGACTGAAGGAAGGAGCTGGAAATTAACATTCTTTTTGTCATTCCCTCTCTTTCCTTTTCCACCTACCACCATTAAAGAATAAGAAATCCCACTTACACAGTTAATAAACTTGCCAATTTCCCATCCCTATTGTCCTCACTGGACAAATAAAATTGAAGACTCTTACAGGAACAAAAAAAGATAAAAACACAAGAACTTTTTTATTGTGGCAAAATGAAATAGTTTATCATAATGGTTACACTCTTATACAGTTTTACTAACCAAACTTTATTTTTCCTCTAGATCAGAAGATTAAATTTTCTGGATTACCAATTTAGATTAGATATAAACAATTCACCTCATTTTGATGTTCACCTGAAATAAGCTTCAAAAGTTAAAAGGGACACTGTCCTTTAAACATGCTGTAAAATCTGCATGAAGTCAGCAATGAAAGTGTTAAAGAAGTAATTAGCACAGAAAGCAGAGCTACATAGTTAAAGAGCTGAGGCAGTTAGAAAAACTAAACATTTTTAAAGCTTTGCCAAAATAAGAAAAGTATTCTAGCACTGAAAATATAAATATGTGAATACTTAATAAACTTGTCAAACTCATATTTTACTGTTTGCTGAAAAATATGAATCCCCCATCACTAAAACTTGTGTGTAGTATATATTAAAGAAATCATGCAATATGCTAAAAATTTAAACTTAGCTGCTCTCACAGCTCTCAATAGCTATGAACAATAATATTTTACTGAGTTATGAAATTAGACTTGAAACAATGCACAGTACAGATTTACCAACAAAATCTTCCCATACAATATCTATTTAATTGTTCTTGTTTAACACATGACCAGTATATCAGGACTGACTTTTAAACCAGATTTAAAGAGACTAAACATTAAGTGTTAACATCAAGAGCATAAGCACCAAAAAGTTGTGACAATGCACAATTTTTAAATATGACATTCACCATTCAGTCAGATGGAAAAAACATAGTGCCTTCATTGCTTCATTAACTAGTTATACTCTAGAATACAATCATTGAAAAAGTGTTTTGAGATCCCTGGAGTAATACAATCAAAGCTTCTGTTCTAGCTTAGCATTATGATAATAAAGTCCTGAAAACTAAATTGTGGATTCTGCCACCCACAAATTTCAGCACACAAAATAGATTTCTCTTAAAGAGATCTTGTATAATCTAGGCAAAAACACACCTGGTAAAGCTAGACTAAGGATCAATCGAGATTCATCCTCCTCCCCATCAAATTAAAACTCATGCATTTCAACGTGTGAGAGAGAGAGAACACTTAGGGTGTTGTTCTTCAGGCTTGGAAAACAAGCTCAAGAAAACTGTGAACAAGAACATCATAACCAACCTCCAGGCCAGCAACAGATTTACTTCAAGCATCCAGGACATTTGGAATTATACAAGTGGTTTTAAAACACATCCTTCACTTTGCAAACATGCTTTTTAGAATTTGAAAAATATTGCATGTGAAAAACATTCCAGACACACAAATATTAATGAGTGGAAAAGGCTGGGGGAGGAGGAGACAGGGGAGGGGAGGAGGAAGGAAAGGGAAAAAAGATTTAAAAAAAAGAAGAAAAAACCAACTTTTGGTCAGCAAAATTTCATTTACCTGATGATCATGGTTGGAAACAAGTTATGCCCTAAAAGGAAATGAAGAATAATTCTTGCTGTATACAATTTGCTAGTTACATTTTCAGATACTACTTAAAATTAGAAACTTTAACAGATAAAATATATTTTTAAAATGGTTGAATTTTGACGGGGGGGGGGGGGG